CATCTAGTCTATGAACTTTTAAAAAGATATTTTGATAACTATATTTCAATATAGTTGGCTTCCTTTGTAATTTTATATACTTTGTTTTATGCATTTATAAACAATATTCTGAGAAGGGGTCTGTTGACTTCTCCAGACTGCCATGTCACAAAAAAGGTTAAGAACTCCAAAATTTCTTCCATGGAGGGTACTCCCTCCACCAGGGCTGATCTCAACCTCTCTCTGATTTAGTAAGTGGTCTTCAAGAATTGGTAGAAATTCATCACCCTGTGGTCAATCGGGTGAGGATCTTCTAGTCCTGAGATGGCAGATGCTTAGGCTGTTACCTCATCCAAGCTCAAGCTTTTCAGGGTCCAAGGTTACCTTAGTGCCAACAAAGTAGGTGTGAGGAAATTGTGGGTGAGCTGGTACCAAGAAGGAACATAAGCACTTTTACTTGTGGGAATACAAGTGTGTGGCTCCCCATTCCTACACTCCCAAAGATACATGAAGAAAGGTGACAGGTCTAAAGTGGGTTGTATACCCCAACCAAGCACCCAGATCTCTGGGTCTCTGCCCTTCTATCGGGTTTGTTGTTGCTGGGCAGATTCACAGGGTCTGAGCAGGAGGGAGACCTAAGGGGCTGTCACTAGTCAAAGGGTGGTCTGGACTGTGACACCCTTCCTATCGACAGGCCACAAGGGCACTGTGACTGGGAAAGTCTGCTAACACTGCCTACATGGCTTAGATGAAGTTTGCTAAGCTTGCATTCCTTGCCTAAATGTAGCTGACCAAGCCAGTCAGTTGGTACACAGGAACTCCCTCATATACCATCAGGTCAATTAGTGGTCAAACATGAAGTCAATTATGGATTAACCATAGGCCAATCCTGACAGCAGGACTTTAAATGGAGGCTCTGGACACTAAGAACACTTCTCATCACACACACACACACACACACACACACACACACACACACACACATATACACACATATACACCCACACACTTGTGCACGTACACAATCCTTGCATCCAAAATTATCTTCCGTTTCTTTAAGTTTCAGTAAAAGTTTCTTTACCTTTCAAAGATGAGAGGTACACTTCATACTTCTCCCCACCTTGTCTTATTCGTTGGCAAAGGTCAGGAAGCAGTTTTTTCCACCACAAAGCCTGGGCAAAGGAAGAATTCACATTATGAGAAGGGCCTAATGAAAACCAGTAAGTGTGCTAACAACAGATATACAGATAAAAGAACAAAGCTAAGGACAAGGAGAGTCTCCGAATGAGGAGGCAAAAACATATTTCAGAGGAACTTATCTCAGAAGTCAGTCCTGAAGAAGAAACACTCATCTGTCTGAATTGAGGTTTATAAGCCATGTTTTTATATGTGTATGTATATGTATGTGCACACATATATGTGTGCGTATATACATATACACGTGTGTGCATACATGTGTGGTATGTGTGTACATGTATGTATGTATGTGTGTATGCATATGTACATGCAACTGTGTGACTTGAAAATCTGGTCCTGAGTATGCTACACACGTGTTCACAGAGGGGATCTGAAAGTGGTGTTTTCATCCAGAAGTAAAGACACGTCACATTAGCACCCTCTAGTGTCCCATGAAAAAAGTAACTTCCTTCGGAATTAGGTACTGAAAACAGCACTAAACGAGGGACCAGCTTTCAAGTGTAAAAATTCCTTCAAGGGAAAACATACATTAAATGATTCCCCTGAAAATTTATGTGCGATGACCAAAAGTCCTGGTTGTACTCTCCCCGACTTCCAAGAATTTGATTCGATCAGGCAATTCGGAGAAAGCATGGAAAAGCATAAACAAAGAAAGAGCTGGACAAGACATCATGTCTAGTCTTGGCTAGATACTGGGTAACCCTGACCAAACAGCTGAAGCCTTCTGAGTCTCAGGATTCTCATCTTCCATTTACCCTGTATTTATCTTGCTTATTCACTTTTTAGCATGTTATCTCCTCCATTACAACAGGAGTTCCTTGAGGGTGGGGGCTATATTTCTCTCTTTATTGTATTCCCAGAGCTTATATTCCAGTCTCTGACAAATAATAAGTGCTCAATAAATGCTTTCTAAGTGACATATCAGACATCACAAGACTGTTGTAAAGTATGGGAGTTATATTACTTTATTTGTGATTTTAACTTATCTTTGCTTTATTCTATATTTCAATGGTTCTCAAAACTTTTTGGACTCCTTTACACACATGGTTAAGGACTCTCCTAAGAGGTTTTGTTTGTGCGGGTTATATCTATCAATATTTATTGTGTCAGAAATTAAAATATTTTCTCATGAACAAAAAATAGTTTTGACCCTGTAAACCTTCTGAAAGGATCTTGGCTACCCCATAGGCCCCCAGACCGCTCTTTGAGAAATGCTGCTATATTCTATGACCCAACCAAAAAGGGCTTCTCACTTTGGAAATTTGCTATTCTCTTGTCTTAGCGCTCAAGCTATTCTGTACACCTGGGATGCTTTGCCCCTTCTCCTAACCTCCTGATACTGAGATTTCTTACTCGTCCTTCACAGTTCAAATGCCACCATTTCCATGAAGTCTTCCCCTAATTCTTACGCCAAAAGTGATCTCCCCTGCCACTGAATTTGGAGAAATTCTTTTTATTCTTAGTAAGCATATTCTAACCTGTATTACTATTATTTGTCTACATATCTTTTCTTCCCCCGACTAAATTATAAGCCCCTGAAATGAAAGGACTTTGTCTTAGATCAAAATCTAGAGAGACCTTAGTATCTAGTCTACAACCCGCTCATTTTACAAATGAGGAAATTGAGGCCAAGGGTGACTTTCTCAAAGTGACACAGCTTAGCAGCATAAAAGGCAGGATCTAAACCCAGATCCTCCAAGCCCCAAACCAAACTCTTTCCACTGTGCATCCTCGGTCTGTCCCTCCATGAGTACCTAGTGCAGTATGTTGCATAAAGCAAGTACTTAAATAAAAATTTGCTAATATGTCATCAAATTCAGTCAACATATCAGTTCTCTTTTGCTGCAATTTTTTTGTTGTTTCTGAATCTTTGTTATAAGGGGAAACTGGAAAGAGGGTGATCTATTCAGAAATGAAGGTGATATAAAAATAAAAGGCACAGATAAAAACTTTAAAAAAAAGTTGTGCAACTGAATTGGAGATGCTGACTTCTATCATGTCCCTAAAAAAAAAATCAACTCTATAAACAGAAAATCCCCAATTATACAATATGAGAGATGAGTTAATGAATGTAAAGTCAGGCTAAAAGAGATGAAGAAAAAAAGGAAGCCTAAAAGCCTACCCGAGGGCCTTCTTCCTTCAGTTCATGATGGGCGTAGGGGATGACGGCCTCAGGGCATCTGTCCAGCAGCGAGTTTATGGCCTGCTCATGCTCTTTCAGGCGGGCGAGACAGAGGACGTGGACGCTGAATCCAGCACTTGTGTCCTCTGACAGTGGTTCCAAGAAAGGCAAAATGGAAGCTACGTCAAATGAAGGACCACATATCAGAGACTAGGGGCAGAAAAGTAAACGGGTTAATGGAGGCAGAACGCAGCAATCCAAGGAACTGGAAACAGTTCTCAATGTTGCTTAAATTTACATGGTCAAAAAAATGTGGCGCCTACATCAGTGTGTCAAAGACCTGTGATTCAGTAGGTGTAGGAACTCTCTCATCCAAGTGCTCGGTAGAGTCCACCTACCCCTTATGGTGGTGGAAAGTGTCCTCAGGCCCAGAGAGAATAAAAGTGACTCATCCATAGTCACAAAGCCAGCACATGTCAGAAATAAAATTAGAACCCAGGTCTTCTTGGTTCCAAAAACAACTCTTCATGCGCTATTATGCATTTTATGAACTCAACTAATCTCGATTCATTAGTGTGGTCCTGTCTGAATTAAGCAAATTAAGTGCTAAGTGATATTTAAAAATCACTAATCTAATAAATGCTAAAAAAAATAGGTTGTAGAACAGGTTATTTCAAAAAGAAAGTTGTTGAAATCTTACAGATTCAAATTAGAGAGCGTCACCAGGAATTTAATCAATTCAATTCAAAAAGCATTTATTCAGTGATTACTATGTCCAGTGCCCAGCTAAGCAGCAATGAGGATACTGAGAAGTAAAGCTCCCTTGAAGGGCTCACATGTTCCTGGAGCAAATACTACATGAAGAGGTAAGTAAATACGCAGTCATGTGAAGAGGGAGCAAACCCAAGCACTAAGCAGTGGGTGAGGAAAGGCCCCCACGGGAGGTGGCCCCGGAGCCAAAGCGAGCAGGAAAGAAGGGACTGCACAGGGAAGGTGTGGAGGGGGGGGCATTCCAGGCGTGAAATACTGCCCGCGCAAAAGCAGGAGACAGAATGGCCAGTTGGCGGGTGCCTCCTACGGGCCGGGCTTGGCGCTTCACTGGGAATGCAAAAATATAAACATTCAAGGAACCTTGCACTGGCCCCTAATCTCAGTGGTTATCAATTTAATCACCGAGTATTTACCAAAGACTAGACAAGCACCACATTAAGCACTGGGCAAAGACAAAAAACGAAGCCGTCCCTGCCCTCAAGAAGCTCATTCTAATGAGGGAGAGAGCGTGCACATGTTTGGTATGAATCAGAAACTGGGTAGGTAGTCTTCTGTTTAGTATTCAAGGCTTCACACACTTCCTAGATGAATGACCTTGGGCAAGTCATGTTTCTGTCTCAGTTTCCTCATATGGAAAATGGGGATAATAACAGCACCTACCTTCCAGGGTTGTGAGGATCAAATGAGATAATATTTGTAAAGCATTTAGCACCCTGGTTGGCCTACAGTGAACACTACAGAAGTGTTAGTTTATGATAATGATGATGATCCATTTATATCTAATCCATTACATCATTAAAAAAAACCAAGACTATTGTTTCTACTATCAAATTTGTCCCTATCTCCCCTCTGACCACCGACAAAGAAGCTTTTCTTCAAAGAACAAATTCTAATGTTTTTTTCCTCTCTTTTAACATCCTCCTACTTACAGGATCGTCTCACACTCACAGGAGGATAAAAGATATGAAATATCCACTTCTCATACTCCTAACAGTCTTTTTCCAGCTATCAATCACAGCACGACCCTGAGAATAAGGTTAGTACCTAACAGGGAATAGATACAAAACACAATCCAAAGGAGCATTTAATATATTCTCTAATTATATTTCCTCGTAACCTAATATAGATACGCTATACATCACTTGAGCAATCGGCCATCCAACTGCACGTTACGCTCTGGACGACAGGCATTACCAGCTACTTAATTTTCTCTCTATGGATCGCCAGCTCTATCTCTGATCAACATTTATGGATCGCATCATACCAATGTGAAATTTGATTTAATCAAGGCAATGCCATCTGCAAACAGGTATCCAGAGGGCCTTTAAATATATTGGGAATTCTTCTTGCACTGGGACCCTGCACACTCCAGACATCTTCACGTCACACCGCCATGATCCTCGCTCTGCCTACCAACTCCAAGCATGCGACCACTCCAGCTCCTGCCAGGGACCCTGATCTCCTGACTGATGAGATTTCTGACCCACCACCCTGCCCTACAGCCGTCTTCAGACCATGCTGCTGCATGCCCTTCCCGCCAACCCCAAACCTCTTTCCCCCTCTACTCTGGGGAAACAATCCCATCATGCTTTACAACAGAGACGGAAGTGTTTAGATTATAAGCTCCTTGAAGGCAGGGGCTGTCTTTTGCCTCTTTTTGTATCCTCGGCGCTTAGCACAGTGCCTGGCACACAGTAGGCACTTAATAAATGTTTACTGAATTGAAAAATATTTGGACACTCCAAATGTGGTGGTTTCGTAGTCCCTGGTGTTAAACCTAGATCATCCATCCAGAAGAATGCGAGCTCTTTGAGGGCAAGGTCCATTTCTCATTTTGTCCCCAGAACAGTGCTTTTATACACAGTAGACAGTTAACAACGTGTGTCTGTGGAATCAAATCACAAGGACACCGAATAAGTAATCTGTTCCACTTTCCACCTACGCCTTGGGCTCCTGCCAGTGACAGAAGCCTTGGATGGACTGATGTTCTGACTTTTGTTCCTCCAAATGAGGGAGAGTTTTGGCAACAACTCTTCAGTTGCTTAGATGTGTGAAGCATAGAACAGCAAAGTAACAAAAACAAATTATCAAATTAGGAAGTGCAAGGTGAAAACTAAGACTACATTCTCAGGCAGCAGGCCACGGCCAGAGATTTTTGTCAAACAAAGTTATTCACTATGGAATGTACCTTCATAAGAAAAGAAATGCTATAATTACCTGTAATTTAGAAAGGTCTTCTGCATAATTTTGATTAGGTAAGGAGTCTGATGAGGTTAAGAAGGTAACCCAAGGATAAATTAAGCCATAATGACTACAGGAGTTTATCTGAAAAGGAAAATAAATTTCCTATTAAGACAGAAAAAAAATAAACCACCTCACAAAATGATTTTTATTCTGCTCTAACAAGTACTTTCTTAACATGTATAAACACCATGCTACCTTTTCTTTTTTTAGTGAGGCAATTGGGGTTAAGTGACTTGCCCAAGGTCACACAGCTAGTACATGTCAAGTGTTTGGTCTGAGGCTGGATTTGAACTTAGGTCCTCCTGACTTCAGGGCCGGTGCTCTATCCACTGCGCCACCTAGCTGCCCCAACCACGCTACCTTTTTAAAGAATCCAATTGTATTGCCATTAAGTTAACATTTTCTTAGGTAACAATTTAAAATGTGTATTAGTTTTGAAGTTATCAATGCCTCAATAAATTTTACATAAAATCTGTTGCAAATGTCACCCAGTTAATATGACTTATTGCTTTTTGTTATATATATTGGCCTTAAATGTTTTCAGGCATTTCATGATTTGCTCTCTCTTTTGTGACTGTAAAAAGGCACGCGTAAAGACTTAGGACAATTCAGTTTTTAGTGAAAAAAATGCAACAGTGCTCTATATGTTCTTTTCTGCGTCCATGCCGTCTCCCCTGCTAGGATGTGAGCTCCTGGAGACCAGGAATTGGTTGGGATGTTTTTGTCCTCACATCTCATTGAGCTGAGCTTGGTGCCTGGGACAAGGCAAACATTTTAAATCAGCTAAATCCATTCCAAAGTGTTAACAGAAGTATCACTGAAACAGATAGTAAAACTATGTATGTGTGTGCAGATATATATATATACATGTGTATAGATGTATATATCCATCTGTACATATATATATATAGATATATTTATACACATATATGGAGATATACATATACACGTACACATTTATAGATATATACATATACATATCCACATACACATGTCTACCTATTTCATCTATGTCTTTATATAGGACATATTTTCCCAAAATTCTACATACATTTTTTGGTGGCAGTCCACTGGCAATAAAGTTACCAAGTACCCAGCTGAATTTACAAAGTGTCTTATGGCTTTCAAAGCACTTTACAAATGATCCCTAATTATCTGATTCAGGCAAGGGGGAGACGTGCATCACCAGCTGCGGCAGGACCTCTCTTCCAATCCCTCTCCCACTTTCCATTTTGCAATCAATGGAAAAGGCTGGCTCTTAAGTGAATGGGCATCCTTCAACACACACATGCACAGAGCCCATTAAGGCAATAAAAGCCAATAGCTAGCATTTACTATATCGCTTTAAGGTTTATAAAACACTTCAGAAATATTATCTCATTCGATCTTCAAAACTACCTTGGGAGGGAGGGGTTATTATCATCCCCACTTTTACAGATGAGGAAACTGAGGCAAACAGAAATTAAGTGACTTGACCAGGGTGTTCGAAACCAGATTTCAAATCAGGTCTTCCTACCTCCGGGGCCAATACTCAGTCTAGTTGCCTCATGCACAACCCCTAGAGCTCTCCAAATCTTTTAGGCAAGCGTCAGGATGCTGTTTTCCCAAGTACTACGCTCTGATTGTGTCCTGGGACCCTCATCCTCTAGGGCTCTTCTTGAGTCAATTCCCTTCCCTGGTTGCCACAGCTCCCATAAGACCAACACTCCTGTAGGGAATGTTCTGTACGAGACCTACATACTAAAAATTCCAGTAGCCACTATAGCTGCTCTAGGTATCCTGAAGGGAGACCAGAGGAGCCCTGAGGGCAGCTTCTATCCTTTTCCTGGGTCTTCTGTGGATTAAGCAAGACAGCTGATAAGGAGAGAAAATTCGGATCCTCCACCATTAAGCTTTGGGAGACTTTAGCTTAGTTCTAGCCTTTGATGAGCACTCCCGCGTTCCCAGTCATGTTACCAGGTCTTCTGGATTTCTCAGCGGTTTGGTGTCTGGGGACTGCCTCTGGGAGAGTCTCCAGATATACTGAGATAAAAGCTTGAAGAAAAGTTCCTGGAGTTCTATCTCAGGGACGGATGCTACCAACTGGGCTTCCCAGAAGTCTACCAAGAGCTGAGGTATGATGTCCTCATTCTTGCCGCAAATCACCTTGAAAACACAAAAAAAACCCCAAAATAAAGCCCATCTCAGACCCAAACAAAAACATCAGTTTCATTTCTATAGGATCAACAGCACAGACCCCCAAGCACCCAACTGATTATCTCATGCTGGGAGACCACATTAGGACACAATCAAACACAATCTAAGAGTAAAGAAAACTGTGGAATGTTCACTGGAAACACACTCCTGGGTGCATTCATAAACCCTCCTCGGATACAAGATCTGCCCAGCATACATGTTTGCCTTAAATGGCTTCTACGAGAAGGGGGGCTATTTGAAGAAGTTGCTTCAGGTGGTCTGCATTGGCCCAGATTCTGACAAGACACATCGACTTTCTCCATTTCCCCAACGACAGACCTTGAAGAAGGTGTCTGCTTCTTCTGTTTCCATTTTGCTGTTTTTCTGTAAGCCCGATATGGCAGCCACAAGCAATCCTGGCTGAGTCTCCTTGAGGTGAGCTGCAAACTCCGTTGGTATAACCTGCCCCTTTTTCTGAAGGATCAACAGCCGGGGTTCCAGAATAAAGCCACACACCAACTCCATCTTCAGAGAAGAAAAAACCCCACGTTAGAAAGACAAAGTCTGGCCTTGTCAGGTTCTCCTAGACATGTTTTTCCTCCTTGAGATTGGGGTTCCCTATCTAGCCTAAGCTGGAAATGTGGTGGCCACTCATGGCCCTGACTCCCCTGCTGGTGGGCACACAACGTCTGACCTACTCTGCTCCTGCCCTGGGCAAGTCTGTCCCTCCTTACGCAATCTGGTAGCTTCCTGCTTCCAGGGACTCCTATTACGGTGCTGGATTTAGTGAGGAAAACTGAACAGCTGAGCTCACTGGAGCTTGGAACTCCCAAGCGCAAGTCTCACCTACCAGCTTCTGCCTCTTAGGGAGCAGGGATTACAGAGAGGTATATAAAATAATGATGATGATAACAATGCTACTGCTACTACCATTACTGTTACTAATTATAGCAGCTAGCATTTATATAGTATTATAAGGTTTGCAAAGCGCTTTACAAATATCTCATTTGGTCCTCAATACCACCCTGGGAGGGAGACACTATTATTATCCCCAGTTTATAAATGAGGAAACTGAGGCAAATAGAGGTTAAGTGACTTGTCCAGGGTCACACCGCTAGTAAGTATGTGAGGGAGGATTCGAACCGAAGTCTTCTGGACTCCAAATCTGTCCATCTACTGTACCACCCAGGAGCCTCTAATGTGGCACTACATTCAGTTCCAAACAAATTTTATACACTCACACACACATATATACATACATACACTTATATGTATGCATGTGTACATATGTATATATGTGTATATATATTTATGTGTATGTGTGTACATATATATATTATATATATGTATATGATATATATATTTCTTGATGCTAATTCCCCAGATATTTGCCTGCCTCTCAAAGAACCACCCCTTGTCACAAAGAAACATCCTTAAGCAAAAATGACCCAAGACACTCCTACATCTGATAGCATCTGCAACACTCCCCACCCTCTTCCCACCCACACCCCCCCCAAGGGGAAAGTGCCACCCCACACGTTTTGATTCTAAAATTCAAGCATCAGTTATCTATTCTATAGCTTTGTCCTCTAATACTAGTTTCTTATTTCTGGGTTTCATTATCGTCACCATGAAAAAGATCCGCTCTCACTTTCTCTCCAGAGTTCCAACTGCCCTCTGGACATTTCAAACTAGGTAACCTAAAGAAATCTTGGATTGGACATATGCAAATGAGAATTCGTTGTCTTTTCCTCCCAAACTTACTCTCTTTCTTCCAAAATCTCTTTTATTTTGTCAAAGGCCCTAAGATCTCCTTCTAGGTCTGCAGCCTCAGCACTGCCCTCAAATCCTTACTTCACATGTGCAAGGAACAAATCTTACCATTTTTACCTTCATGTCTGTCCCCTCCCTGTTCACTTTTCACACTCGGACTGCCTTAGCCCAGATCCTCATCACTTCTCCCCTGGGTCATTGCAATCATTTCCTTGACTCAAGTCTCTCCCCTCTATCCTCCCACACACAGCAGCAACACGATTTTCCTTAAGCACAGAAATCACCATGTCCCAATTCCAGACACAATAAACTCCACTGGTTCCCAACTGCCTCTGGGATCAAATGTCAACTCCTCCGTTTGAGGTATCCTCAAAGAATACCTTAACTTCCTGGGAGAGCCTTCCCTGAACTGCCCTCACTCACCCCCCTCCAGCTCAGCTAAAAGCCTCTTCTTCCTCCAATTTCTTCTAGCATTTCTGCCTCTGTCTGACTCTACCTGCTGATAATAAACCTAACATATAGGTAATAAATCAAATAGATAATAAGTTCCTTAAGGACAGAAGTTCAAATCCTGATGCTGCAACTTACTCCCCCATGTGGTCTTGGATAAAAATGATAACAATAAATGACACTGATATAGACTGATTTAGTATTTGCAAAGCCTTTTATATACATTATCTCATTTGGCCTTATGAGAACCCTGAAAAAGGAGGTGCTATGGGTATTATTCACTAGTTTTACAGATGAGGAAATTTAGATTCAGAGACTTTAAGTGGTTTGTCCAAGATCATACAGCTAAGTAACAGAGGCAGGACTGAAGCCCAGGTCTTCCTGAATCCAAGGCTAGAATTCTAGGTACTATAAATCACTTAACTTGAAACATAAATCATTTCACTCCTTCGGCTTCACCTGTTTCTTCTAAAATGAGAGAATTAAACAAGATGACTTCTAACATCACTTGTCTCTAAATGCTAATGATTCTGGTTTTGTTTTGTTTTGTTTTTAATTTGCATTAGAAACCAAATAGGCGTTTAATATGGCTGGATCCTGATTAATGTAACGAATCCCATGAAGTGGTTGCTTGTATTCAAATTCGCACTACCTAAAGTTATGATTATGAAAAATGTGGTAACAGGTTACAGCCAGACGGAAAAAAGTAGTGTGAATTCCATTAATGGGACCGTTTTCGAGGAT